TTCTTTTCTTTCTTTTTTCTTTCTTTGTTTTTTTTTTTTTTTTTTCCGGTAGGAATGATCATAATGATGAACTGCAGTACGATAGACAAAGTAACCAGCGGGACGGCGATAATAGAAACGGGAAGGTAGAGGTTTCAGCGGCTGGAGGCTGAGGTCCCAGTTGTAGCCCTTCCATGCTTACGTGTGCCTAGGCAGATTTCTTAGCTTGTTTGAGCCTGTGCATTCTCACCTGCAAATTGGGAGGAACAACTCCTGCATCATGTAGTTCTCATAACAGTAATTAAAGGCCCAGTGCCTGGCACCTAATGGTAACGTGATCCCTAATTTGTAACTTCTATGTGATCCAGGGTCCCAGCAGGAAATAGGTGGCACACTCGAATTAGGATAATTTGAGAAAAGGACAATAAAGGGGCTAATGTGTTTATAAAAGCGTGAGCTGAGAAACCAGGAGTGAAGGTTCAGTACCTCGGGGCTCCTTAACAGCAGGACCTTGTGACCACCATTAGGCCTGAAGAGATGAGGCGGGAAAACTGTGACCAGTTTTCTGAATAGTCGTGTGGAGAGGGCACCCGAGAGCAGGTGAGACACCTTTAGGGCGCGCAGCTGTAGTTTCCCATCAGGGATTGGGGTGGGGGAAGGAATACCCTGACCTCTCTTCCTCTCTCCAAACATCTGCTGGTGCCTTTGGCTGGCGAACCCTGCTGGAAGCAAGAGAGCCAGAGACCCCATGGATATGGTACACACGGGAGGGCACAGGACAGGGAGGAGAAGGTGGAGTAGAATTGGAAGGGCAAACAGAAATCAAGCACATTCGCATTTTAGTGATGAGGAAACAGGCTCAGTGAAGAGTGAAACGATTTGCTCAAAGTCACTCACAAGGGGATTTGAATTTAACCGGGTTGTCTGCGGCCCCGATGCCACATCTGTATGAAATCAGTGATGGGAAGTTGTTAACCTAGGTTACTCAACCTTGTTGGGTGTGAGATTCATTAGGATGGCCTCTCCGGCAGTGATACTTGTGTTGTGAAATAGTAATGATGTCCGTTGGTATCGCTCGTTCCATTCATCATCACATCTGAACGTCAAAGGAACCAGTGGGTGTAGGAAAGTGGTTCCCTGTTCACTTTTTATAAATAAGCATGCTGGTGTTTGTTCAGTCTTTCATTTGTTGAGAAAATGCCAGGCTATGTCCCTGTCCTGATGGAAGTCTGTCCTTCTGATTTCTAGCCTTCAGCTTTTCAGTGAGCCATTAGCTCACTCAGATCTTACTCTTCTGTGAGGCAGGGGAAATAGGATTATTGGTTTTAGCAGAAAGGACAGGATTGGAAGCAGAAAGATTAAAGCCTTGATGAGGAGAAGCATCTAGCTAGAGAGGGGGATGGGTCAGAGCAGAGGTGTCCTGGCTACTGGTGTCCCCTCGTAGCCTGCCCCACCTCAGGCCACAGAGGGCGGGATGGAGTTCGGAAGGGGACCACACAGAATGGGATCTGGCAAGTGATGTGAATTGAAGAGCCTCTTAGCTTTATCAGACTCTCTGTCATGGGGTCGAGGGATTGATTTTTCCCATTTTTCCAAACCTTTCTGCCACCTCCTCCTAATCCCATAGCCTCTAGTTCCTGCTGCCATGGAGTAACTTCTAGACAGGCCTGTGAAAAACTCAACCTGGTCATATTTGCGAAGTCCAGTGCTCATCCCTGAGTGTAGTTTATGAAAGCTTCAAGTTGTGGTATCTGTGTAACAAAAGCAAGGGTTTCCCGTTATCTGTGTTTGTGCCCTGAAACGAAAAGTGGTGCCCTATCGGTTACTCCAACTCGCTGGTCCCTCGGTGGCCCAGGTAGTTAAAACAAGGGGCCAACCTCACGGGGCTGTCGTGGAGCTTAAGTGACCCGCTGCTTTGAAAGTTCGTGGCACATTTGACGCATAGTAGGTGCTGTGCCGAGGCCTGCTCTGTTCTTTCCTTGCCCTCCCCATGATTGCAGTGGTTGTGTCTCTTGGACCAGGCCTTTTGTTACTTCTCCACCCCTATTCCAAGTTGTGCCTCTAGGGAGTCAGGAAATCAACACATCATTTTCTGCGTTGGCTAAGCCGCCTCTTTCTTCAAAGCATCCTTTGTCTTTAATGAGGCTCTGAGACCAGAATAGACCTGTATATGTGCTCATTCGTCAATGCCAAGTGAACTCTGTGGAAATGTCTCTTAAATGCATCCTCAGTATGCATTTCAAACACCTACTTTTGGAACGCCTCTTCATGTATAGTATCTTCATTGTCTGGGCCTAAAAATCAGAAATTTGGACCAAAGACCACCTTAGAGGCCGTTTCTCTACTTCACTGACTTATTCTTTCTGACCTCCATGTGATATGCAGGTAAGGGACGCTTGTATAGACGGACACTACTCACGATGACTGACAAGGACTGTCCCACTCCTCTTGGTGCTCCAAAACCACTCTCAGACCCAGGTGAGTTGAGAGCGGTGGGTGACAGGGAGAGCTTTTGCCCCTTCTTTAACAAGGAAAGTACATTTTGCACAAACTTCACTTCTTTAGTTAGTGTCACTTGAGTGCACACTTGACAGTCCATTTTGAAACATCAGCGTGTCATGACAGCCCGCGTGGCAAGCAGAGGTTCACTCCAGCGCCTTCCTGGTACAACGGAGGAGAGCCAGGGGAGATCAGAACGCTTGGGTCCTGACCTAGTCCAGTCCTTTTTCAGCCCTTCATGTTGGATCTTGGGATGGGCTCTGCTTGTTAAATTTTATATATCGTGAGCAGGAGAACATTGCTAAAAGTCTTAGGATTTAAAAAAAAAAGTATAGGTCATAGTCTTACCTGTTATTGAGCATTTGTTGTCCTTTTGCATGTAATTTGATACATGCAGAGCAGTTCACATCTGTAAGTTACAAAGGGTAGTAAGTGACTACTGCTTACCCAGCACGTGGTCGAAGACTTAGAACTTCAACAGTGTTGTTGCAGGTACCGATGGGTCTTTCCCCTATTCCATTGCCCTGCCTCTCCTCCCAAAACCTGGGTAACTACTTTCTTGAATCTGCTGTGCTCCCTTTTCCCTTAAAACGTGTAATTTTATTTCCCACGTATGCATTCCTAAGTAATCTATTGTCCACTTTTGTTCATTGATGAGCTTTTAAAAAATATACCATGCTGTATGTAATCTTTTGGGACTGCTTTTCACTCAGCGTCGTGTTTCTTTTTTTTTTTTTTAATTTTTTTTTTACGTTTATTTATTTTTGAGACAGAGAGAGACAGAGCATGAACGGGGGAGGGGCAGAGAGAGAGGGAGACACAGAACCGGAAGCAGGCTCCAGGCTCTGAGCCATCAGCCCAGAGCCCGACGCGGGGCTCGGACTCACGGACCGCGAGATCGTGACCTGAGCTGAAGTTGGACGCTTAACCGACTGAGCCACCCAGGCGCCCCAGCATCGTGTTTCTAACATTCATCTGTGTTGCTTGTAGCTGCACTTAATTCATTTTGACTACTGTATATTTAGCATACAGTTTTTTTTCTTTTGTCCTATTACCAACCAGCCACAAGGTACATTGTTACTATTGAAACATGCTATTATCCACCATGTTTAAGAATTTCTATGGGGCACCTGGGTGGTTCCGTTGGTTAAGTGTCCGACTTCGGCTCAGGTCGTGATCTCACTGTTCAGGAGTTTGAGCCCCGTGTCGGGGTCTGTGCTGACAGCTCAGAGCCTGGAGCCTGCTTCGGATTCTGTGTTTCCCTCTCTCTCTGTGCTTTCCCAGCTCATACTGTCTCTCTCTGTCTCTCAAAAAATGAATAAATGCTAAAAAAAATTAAAAAATTTCTCTGAGTCAGTGTTTTTCATTTTTTTTTCTTTTTTTTTAATAAATTTTTTTTTTTTTTAACATTTATTTTTGAGACAGAGAGAGACAGAGCATGAATGGGGGAGGGTCAGAGAGAGGGAGACAGAGAATCCGAAACAGGCTCCAGGCTCTGAGCTGTCAGCACAGAGCCCAACGCGGGGCTCGAACTCACGGACCGTGAGATCGTGACCTGAGCTGAAGTCGGCCGCTTAACCGACTGAGCCAC